ATGCTACTGTGGTCAATCTTCTGGGGTTTGAGTTAGCAGGTCTAAATCAAACTCAGAGGGCACCCCCATTGGTGCTGGTATTCCTGCTCTTTATAAAGAGTAAGGGAAGCTGATGGGAGCATTTGTTCCCATTAGTCTCTTGCTGTGTGGACAGTGCAGAAACTCAATTTAAGATACGTCGACTCCAGCTACCTAATTAATGTAGCTGGAGTTGGATATCTTTATTTGACCTTCTGCTGTAGTGTAGACCGTGCCTGAAAGATTTGCCACTGACTTCAGTGGAAGATTGATTGGGACCTTATACATGACGCCCCAAACCAACCAAATGCAAAAAATCAAAATTTTCCTATTTTTGTCACAGTTATGTGTAGCTCTCTTATATTTTGAACTATGGTTCATTTTGCAACAACACGAGTCAAAAAATAAGGCCATAGAATGAAATGTTTATTATATACACACATATATATTTATATGAAAATGTATTTGTATAGTGTAGTTCTCAGATACAATAACTGTAGTATTTATTACTACATAAAAACAATCTGGGTAACACCAATGGGCCAAATTTATTTTCTTTTTCTTCAAATGAATTGTGCCTGCTTACCGCACTTAAATTTGACAACTGCTCATTCTTCCTTAATGCCTGTCCTAAATCAAACAGTACCTGTTGAATGCCAGACTTGTTACACTGTTAGAAACTAATATTTCATTTGTTTTTATTTTACAGTAAATGGTGTTTAATTTATTGCTTCTAATGACCAAAAGGTACTTTTTAAAAGATAGCATAGATGTTCATAGCACATTTCATATACCATAACATGGATTTAGCAACACTGAGGTTGGTGTGATTATTAGGTTACAGTTTTTCTTTGTTTTGCTGTTTTTATTTTGCTTTTGCTTTGCAGAATGCACATGCAACTAGTGGATTAAACTCTGTCAAAAGTGATATGTCAAAAATATTTAGGAAAAACTTAACTGTTTTTTTTTACTGAAGTCAGGCATGTGTGGCATGCAGTAGATTGCAAGGAAAAACAAATGGATGTTCATTTCCAAAGGATTTATAATCTTCATGCGCATGTAAAACCTCTGTTACAAAAATCATTAACATTTGTTAAAAGTGTGCCTTTTTGTTTTTTTATACAAGTGTACATGCAATAACCTGTCATAGCTAAAACTATTTACAAAATTTCATACAATACCTCTTAAGTGAATAATACATGAAAGGCCAATGTTTACACTGTACAAGATTAAAAATAAATAAGGCATTATAATACAGTTTTATCACAAATTAAAAAATGTTGGTTGTCACTGCAATACAAAACTGTAACTTGAAAGAACATTATGGCTAAATAGTCATCCTGACTGGAGAGAACATGTACAGATTTTGGACTTGCTGATGGTAAATGCTTAACTTGTGCTACAAGCAGAGAATCAAATGAATTAAAATTATTCACGTTGACCATTAATATATTCAGTTTCTCAGTTTTGAAATGGCACAGGACAAACAAACACAGATGTTTCCCAAGTGCTTTCTTTGCCTTATAGTTATAATATAGGCAAAGATAGGAAAGACATTTCTGTCTGTGATCTAGTCTTTTGCACTGTTGTAAATAGTGAGTTACTAGAGATTTACACCAGTGTAAACAAAAGCAGAATCTGGCACGCACCGGGCCCAAGTACTAAATTCCTTATCAAACCCTCCCCCATCCCAATTTCACTGATTTCCATAATACTTTTGCGTGCATAAGGAATGCAGATTCAGGCCTGATGAGCTGAAAGTTCAGGATCTCCCCAAATCTCCAGTAAAAGAAGCAGAGCTAAGGATTACAAGAGTGTGCTTATGTTTCATGTGATAGAAATGAATTGTCAGTACATGCAGGTGGGAACATCTATAGAGAAGCAATGGACTTTACCTGTTGGGTAAAACTGCTTTCTAATCGATGCATGTGTAACATTTTTGGAAATGTCTAGACAGTCATTCAGCTGAATGCTAATTTGTAATCACGTTAAAAAAAAAATTTAAACATATGGGTAACATAGGAACATTTTGAAATTAGTTCCCAAGACAGAAGGAAGTTTGAAGACCTCTGATGTTCATCTGCTTATATCAAGAATGAAAGACTTTAATTATTACTATTATCTTAAGAGAAAACGTGCAAACTGATGTGAAATATTGTGCTTGCAATTGACAGACATTAATGACATCTTGCCAAAACTGGAACCAGTTTATTGTAGGGCTCCTCCCACTTAAGTGTTCAAGCTGACAACTACACAAGAATAAATGTAAACTTAGGACCGTATTCTGCCCAGGATGTGTCCATGTAACTTCTCTTCATCAAAATGAGAAGTATGTATGTGAATCAAAGGGCAGCACTGACCCCTTAGTGGGGCTACAGGAAGATCACCCAGATCAAAACCTCATCATGTGAATTGAAAAATAATAAATCTAATATAGGTGAAATGCATATCTCTGCATGAGTAACGCCACCTTAATCCAAGGCCCACTGAAATCAATAGGAAACTTTCCATTGATCTTCATGGCCTTTGGATCAGGCCAAATATTATCTGAAGATGGTTGCCACAAATAAATGTAAGGGAATGTCTTAAATTTATCAAGAACCACAAGATTTTGTGGGCAGAGCACAATTATTACTGCTTATTATCTCTCTTGCATGAAGTCTGCTAAAAGCATACACCAGAATGTATAAGGGCACAGAGACTACAGAAATATGCAATTAAAAAAAGGATGCAAAAATGTACATAGAAAAATGAAACTGGGAAAGTCAGAAAAATAGGAAATGAAAGGAGACAGGCAAAAATACATTTTTAATATTACATTATTAGAGAGGATACCTAGTAGTGCCTGCTGTAATGGCTGCAAAACAATTTCTATCATAACCTTGTTTTAATTTTTAAACAATCTTTTTTTCCATTGGAAAGATGCAGCCATTACAATGTAATTCTGCTGCCCTGTTAAACCAGCTCTGCAGAATTGTCTCCAACAATAACAGCAAAGCAAAGGGAGGAATTCACTCCTCCACACTCTATCACCTCAGTGATATTAGAGGCAAGATGATTTCCCCTTCATTTTTCCAATTTTTAAAATCCTAGACAATTATTTAGCTCTGGCTTATTGTTCTGTGTGTTTGTACCGCACTGAGTGCAATGGGGTTCTGGTCCATGACTGGGGATCCAGGTGCTACAATAATTTTACTACTAATAGTCATTATAAAGGCAAAAGCATTGTGTTAATTTGACATTATTGGAATTGCACTAGGAATTAATGACCCTAAACTCAAAGTCAGTAAGTGCATAAATTAACTGATGGTATTTTGCCTATCTACAGTTTTTCATTGTGGTTAAATGTCTAGGTTAACATAGGTTTGTTTAATTCATAAAATGCATATTATAAAACATACAGGATATGCAATGTGACCAGATTCCCATAGCTCTCAAAACCTTATCTTTGGCATTTCCAGACAACTTTTTATTTCAAAAATACAATCTCAGTACTGCATTAATACAGTTTGCTTCCATTTAAGTTATGCTATTTTTTGTTCTTGGTAATGTGTGTGATCTATTTACTTAACAGGTTTTCATCACCATAGTATCTGAGTGCCTCAAACAGTAAATTTACTCCCAGCAACCCCCTTGTGAGGCAGGGAACTATTATTACTCCCAATTTGAAGATGGAAATACACAGAGATTAAGTGACTAGCCCAAGGTCCCTCAGAAAGCCTCTTGCAAAGTCCAAAATTGAGTACGATCAATCTAGTTCAGTGCTTTAACTGCAAGTCTAGCCTGTCAATCTCTGTTCTGAAAATGGCTCCGGAAATGAATAAATATCTTCCATAAATCCACAATATATCATTGTTTTGGCTATAGGGAGACCTGAAAACAAACTTCATTATGTTTAATCTCACCCTCTACAACTCTTGGGACCAAATTTGTTCATAAACAAATCTTTTAAAAACATATGAATTCTCACAGTGAGCAGAACGTGATCTATCTCGCCCAGTGTCCAGCCTCCAAGAGCAGAGCCAAGACCGAAGTTCCAGGGATGTGTACAGAAAGGGAAATTATGGAGTGAGTGATCCAACCATCGTCCACTGCCATCCCCTGGCAATCTGAGGTTTAGGGTTGCCCAAAGCACGGGGCTGCATACCTGACCATTCCAGCTAATAGCCATTAATAGATGTATCCTCCCTGAACTTACTTATTTTTTTAACCCAGTTATACTTTTGGACCTGACAATATCCCATAGGAATGAGTTCCACAAGGTAGTTGTGCAATGTATGAAAAAAATAAAAAACTTTCTTCCCTTTGGATTAAATCTGCTGCCTACTAATTTTATCAGGCAACTCCTGGTTTGGGGGTAAATAACACCTTTTTTTCTACACCATTCATAATCTTATAGATTTCTGTTATCACATCCCCACTTAGCTGTCTATTTTTCTTCTAAAATGAGCAGCCCCAATCTTCTTCCCCTGGCTTGTACAGAAGTGAGGATGTCTTTGTTGCCTTTCTCTGAAACCTTTTCCAGTTCCACTATATCCTTTATGAGATGGGGTGACCTGAACTAGACACTGTATTGAAGATGCGTGTATACTAAGTTTTTATATAGTGGCATTTTCATATTTTCTGTCTTACTTTTCATAGCCTTCTGAATAGTGTAGGATGTAGTTAGCCTTTTTGACTGCTGCTAGACACTGAGCAAGAGTTTTCAGAGAACTAGCCATAATGATGCCAAGATCTTTCTTGGGTGATTATAGCTAAGTTAGAACCCTTCATTGTATATTTATAGCTAGGATCAGGCCTACCATGTGGGGGCAAAAGGGCATAGTTGCTCCAGGCGGCAGCACTGAGGGCTGGCGGGGGCAGGGCTGGCCTTACCATAAGACGAACTGAGACAGCCACCTCAGGTGCCAGACTGTGTGTGTATGGGGAGGGGGTGCCACTGGGACCCAGAGTGTAGAAAATTGTATCTGCTGCTGGTGCAGTGACGGGGAATGGGGGTGTCATTTGAGCTCCCTGCCTCAGGTGCCAAAATGTTGTGGGCCGGCCCTGGGCGGGGGGCAGTGCTGAGGTCTGGCTGCACTGACCTGGCCCCTTCCACCCAAAGCCCGTTCCCTTTTGGAGGTACAGACACTGCCCCTTCTGCCTCCCTCCCCCAGCTTGCCCGAGGGGCCTGTGGAAGCTGTTAGCTCTCCTGGATAGGATTTTTTCCCCCAGGTGCTTGCACTTATTAACATTAAATTTAATCCGCCATTTTGCTGCCCAGTCATCCAGGTTTTATGAGATCCCTTTGTAACACCTCAGTCTTCTTTCAACGTAACTATCTTAAATAATTTTGTGTCATCAGTAAACTGTGACACTTCAACCATTAACCTCCTTTCCAGATCATTACTGAATATGTTGAACAGCATAGGTTCCAGTAGAGATATTTGGGGGACCCTGTTCTGCTGATTACCTAGCTCCATTGTTAAAACTCACCATTTATTCCTAGCTTTTGTTTCCTATCTTGGGATCTGTTATAGATCCATAAGAGGATCTTCCTTCTTATCCCACGATTACTTAGTTTCCTTAAGAGCCTGTGATGAGGGCTCTTGTCCAAAGCTTTCAGAAAATCCAAGAACGCTATACTGATTGGATCACTCTTATCCATAAGCTTGTTGACTCTCTCAATAAATTCTAATAGATTGGTGAGGCATGATTTCCCTTTACAAAAGCCACATTGACTCTTCCCCAACAAATCTTGTTTTTCTAGGTGTCTGATAATTTTGTTCTTTACTATTGTTTCTATCAATTTGCCTGGTACTCGAGCTAGGCTCACTAACCTGCAATTGCCAGAATATCCTCTGAAGTTCTTTTTAAAGAAACGGCAATACATTAGCTGTCTTCCAATCATCTGGTACAGAGTGATTTCAGTGACAGGTTATATTCAATAGTTAGTAGCTCTGCTATTTTAAATTTGAGTCCCTTCTGAACTCTTGGGTGAATGTAATGATGATTTAAGAACATTGACATATGGATGGCCAGCTTACAAAAGAAGTGGCATGTAAAAACTGACTGGGCTGTATACTCTACAGCTTAATACAGGTTTCCACATGCCACAGTAGTTTGAGTGTGGTATAAGATGATAGACTTATCCATGACAAAAGCCTACTCCAAATAAAAGCCTCTAGTATTAAAATCACAAACCCAAAATCACAAACAAAATGTAAAACCCAAACCTGGTCCCACTGAAACCAATACCAAAATTCTAGTGGCACCTGCCCAGAGATGAGAATTTTGCAAACAGCATGTGCATTAGATAGTAAGAAACTTGTACAGCAAATACAAGTTTTGTTCTATGGTACATTCGGCATATCTGCATTTTAAAAATATTTTTAAACAAAACTAGTTTTTTTGCCTCTCCTAGTGACAATGTGTATGTCACTTGTGTGTGCTGCCAGTACCTGGGGATGTTGTATGGCCGCAAACCATGAACTATCTGTGGCCTAAAACGCTCCGCAATATGACCCACTGTCCTCATCTTTAATACATAAGTGCATGCCACATTATGTTGACTCAATATGAAACACTGCATGCTGAGACAGGTATTCTTTGTGGAATGCATCTATGTATTAGAGAAGAGAGCAGCTGAAGTATGTTCCTTCTATGCATATTAAGAGCAGTTCCTCAAACTCTGGGCAAGTTTACCAGCATGATCTTCATTTGGAGAAAGTCTGGTGTGCTTGCTTTTCAGAATCCTATCTTCCAAAACAGGTATATGCTTTCTCTATTGCAAAACTAAGAAGAACATGCCTGGTGTTGAATCAGGATATATAATAAAACAGTGGCATCACAATTTAAAAATTAGTTGGCAAATGTACAAATATATCAATACTAACAGCACATTTGCAATTGGTACTGGTCAGCCCGTTGAACAATTCAAACAATCCTAAATCCTCACTGAGCTAGAAAATCTGTGCTTTCAGTGAAAATCTACAACTACAAAAAGAGAGCATCCCATTGCTTTCTACTATCAATATCATTGACAATTTGTAGAATATAGCGAAGACTGTTTCTATATTGCATAAGCATATTGCTGTGCTTCCAGGGTGGCATCTCTGTCTCACACAAGGCCAAAATGTCCTACAGACAGAGAGTATTTTAGCAATCTTCTTTGTCAATGCAATAAAATATTTAATAGTATCTGGTCAAATTCCTAGGTCCTGCTTTTTGTCTAACTCATAGGCTTATGTTGTAATTGTAACTGGAAAGTTTTGAAAGGTACTGAACATGCAAATAAAACTTTAAAAGATACCTCAATTTAGCAGTTGGCTTTAATTCAGCCTTCATTGACCAATTGCTGGCAAGTTCTCATTTACTTATTTCAAGCAGTGGGCAAGCTTTCTATAATTCTTACTACAGCCTCAGATAATTTTTGGTCATCTCACCCTCCTTTCCTAATAGCAGCTTTACTAACCTCAGACCCAACAATACTGGATATAGTGGTAAAGAGAAACCTCTCCCTTTTGCTATTGCAGGTGGATGTGTAAATAAATACATATTTTTATATATATAAATTTCTATTATTTATCTCTATATATGAGTGTTTGTATATGTGCATTTATAGCTTATATATACATACACATACACACACAAATACAGTGTCACTTGTACACTTTTTTCAGTTATAGCATTTATCCTTTAAAAATGCCAAGAAAATATTCCCTATTCCCAAAAAATCAGTTTTAGACTTTTCCTAACTGAATTGCTAGCCCTTATTTGTTCCATTCCAAGAGTTCATTTATGCAGGTCCCAAGTTCTCTTTGGTTGGGTTGTAGTGATCCTTGGTTGATGCCATGGCCTATGATCCTTGATCTCCTGGTGAAAATTCAGGCAACTTCTGCTCTCTAAGATCACTGCGAATGGCGTAACCAATTTTTCTCTGCTCTATGCTTCTTTGATAGCTGGCACAGATGGAAGGTAATGCAATGTTTGATTTGTGTGGGTTGTTGGAGCTTGAAGTGCTCCAAGCCCAGCTTTTACAGTAAAGCTGGCAACTGAGGACACTGATGGACAACTGGTCCCCAGTTTGGTTTGAATGTTTGTTCTCCCATAGGAATACATTTTCCGCTCTAAGTTTAAAGACCGTGTTTGTGTATTATTTCCATTGGACTTGCCTTCGAGAAAATAGGTCAACATTTCGCCTTTTCCCTTTACACTGACTTTACCTCGGCATACAAACTCGTAACTGCACCTCTTTAATATCCGCTGAACTTCTTCTGTCACCTGCGGGTAAGGAGAGTCAGTATTACATTTTACTATTCCTATCACCTAGAGTAAGGAAACAGAATTCTACTTCTCTGTGGCAATTTCTTCAACTATGATGAAAGATGATCCATGGAATGAATAAGTAACTACTGGTTTGGGTTTCCCCTGTTTTCACATACTTTGATGGTACTACTAATAATAAGAGTTAATAATGAGATGTGCCCTAAGGAGAAAGTTTCATATCTAGCTCTGAAGGACTCCAAAGTTCTGAGGTTTTGGTTCTGATCATTAGAAACATAACAACATAAGAAATGCCTACATATGCCCAAATACATCAGTTAGCCTTTAAAGTGCCATAGGACTCCTAGCTGTTTTAATCCAGAGACATTCCAAAGGCTATATAAGATATGACCGACTTCAATATAGGTCCTTATCCTATGGTCCTTACTCAGTCCAAATTCCCATAGTGAAGTGGAAGTTTGGGTGATTGGCTGGTGTAAATATCACAGATTCAG